AGAGAGAGAGAGAGAGAGAGAGAGAGAGAGAGAGAGAGAGAGAGAGAAAATATTTGAAACATTTTCATTTTGCAGTATCCAGGCTGTTCCACTTCACGACTGCATGCATATTTCTGTTTACCACTTTTGTTATTATTGTTCGTGAAAACCGCGGACTTATTTACTTGTCTGCTTCGCTTTATAGAAGATGATCAGAATCTTCTCGCTCTAAATGTTTCACTTTGCAGAGAGGCAATTTATTCGCAGCCTTTGAGCCGCGGAAGAAAACGGCAAGAAATGCAAACATATAATACAAATCGAAACTGACGATCTCGGCAATTATGGTTGTCGAGGAAATGAAAAACGCCGTGTCAACAGAAATCAGAATTAATGAATTTGCTATTTCATCCTTCAAACGTAACAACCTTAGACATTGCGCCTGAAATTGTATATTGCGACTTTATATGCATATCGCGGACAATGACGAATTCTTAACTCGAAACTTACTCGCGTTATCGGTTCTTTATCAATTGTGTTCTCGTTGTACACCGTATGCTAAACTCTCTTACATGCGCGTATCTCTTAATATTTCCTGATTCCCATCCCGATTCAGATCTCTCACGCAACCTAGCCGTAATTAAAAGTTCCACGAAGAGTTTCCTTGACGTTCCCTAGGTAGCCGTGGTAAAACCGTTAAATCGATCGACTCTTCGCTGTTCGCACGAGTATCGCGTTACTATTTTCTCGATAGTGACTCGGCGGGAGCGAAAGCTAAAGGGTCGGCCCTATGCGCGGGCCCGGGTACAGATTGCGGGGGGAGATGTCGCATCATTATCTCAGCGGAGTATTATTTCTTGATTCGGTCCCAGCCGCTTCTGTCGCCGCCACCCTCGGCGACCATCCGCTAACGTTCTCCCCGTTTTCCTTTCTCTTTTGTGTTCCCTCCCTCCCCTTAATTTAGTAAATGCCAGCAAAATGTTACAAAGCCCTGATAATGGAGACGCAGCGGGGACGGGTCTTCCAATGCTCACGGATACAAAGAAATCCCCGAGACAGACAGGAACGATGGTTGTTTAATCCCTCTGTGAGAGAGACGGAACAGATCGTCTTACGAAGTTCTCTTACAATTCGAACACGCGAGTATGTTTCCGTCAACGAGATGAGACGCTCAATTGATTTCACCGCTTTGGAATCACTTGAAGGACTTATAACTCGCAATACATAGGTAGCAAAAGTGGTTACAATTTAATTTCTCTTCGAGAGAAGAAACACATATATAAAACATATAAAATAATTAATGTTGACACTCAAAATGTACGATTCTTTTAATTAAAATAAAAAAATAAAGTAACAACTAATTTGAACGTAGAGAGAAATCTAATTAAAAAAGATATAAATCATATTTCTGTACGACGGGAAAATAAAACGTCACAATTGCATAAAAGCTTCCGCTTTTGGAATAACCACCTCTCTCTCTCTTTCTCTCTTTCTCTTTCATCTTTGCGACGGGATGAGCTCGCCATATGGGGCGACAAAAGAAAAAGCGCAGTTACGATAAATTGCATTTCCCAAGGAAAGCGGCTACTTCGACTTCAACATTTCCCGTTTCCTGGCTTCGTTCCACGTGCTTGCGTCGCCTTGTATATACATACGTATCTATCTACGAAACTACAATATCGAAGAGAATTCTGATAAGAGTCCGAAAGGAAATCGTTTCGATATTCCTTCTTCAACGATAAGAGATATTTAAGCTTCATGAACTTAGGGACATAATTTTTAAATGCTTTTAAAACATTCGATCTTATATATATCGATTCACTCGCGTAATCTCTGGATCACGATTCTTTTCTCGCATCCCTCGCTGTACCCATTCTTCGCGATGCCGTTTTTCCTCTGTTATCGCACGCGACGATCGATACACGCGCGAGCATCGTTCCTCGTTAATTAGAAAGGTGATAGCCATTAATTGTAGTTTGAGAATCGGCACCCGCGTTGTGCGGTTCGCTCCGCAATTAAGGTACGCTAATTGAACGCTTCCAATTATCAAGCCAGAGGCCGCTGGCGAGACCGTACGAAAAAAAAATATATACAGCTCGCTTATATCCGAGTTCGCGGCTCGTGTCTGCCGTGCGTCTAGCGAAACGAGATAAAAATTCGTCGATCATATTTTCGTCTCGTTCGGTCGTACCTGCCGTTTTTCTCGCCAGACTTCTATTGTGGCCACGACAATTCGGCAGGAAAAACGACCACGACCGGGGATTAACACGTCGCATCTAGTTGCGATCGGTATTTCTCCTAATTGTCCTCAATAGCCGTTGCCAGAAACGCAATGGAGAAATTTTACCTTCGTAATGCTCGCTGCAACAACCTGGGAAGAGCTCGAAATAGCGTGAGAGAAGTGAGTTACGATCGCGAATGTTAGCGAGGTGAAAACGGTCACAGGTTTGCGGCGTTGCTGAGCTAACCGTGGCAATTGAGCTCTTTCTCTCTCTTTTCTTTTCCCTTCCTCCCCCTCCTCTCTCTCTTTTCCGGACATTTTCGACGATGTTAGCACTTCGGATGTCGTATATCGATTTAGCGGATTATCCGTCGGGCTACAGCCGATAAAATTGTATAGAAGAATTAGGTTAAATTTAATTCATGCTAAATCGCGTATTTCAATCGTAACGTTCCATCCGTTTTCCATATCGCTTTATTACTTACCGCCCGTGCACGCACGTTTATTTTCACTATTATTTTATGAAAAGTGACGTATTAAAACGTCAGAGCTGCATTGCGGTTTATTGAAACGCGGACGTAACGTTATTCCGACGTGTATACATTCGTTGATTTATACCGGGGAATTATTAAAATCGTTCTATTATGTTAAACCCATCTCTTTTTCGCGGATATACATCTCCTTCCCGAAGGCGTCGGGGTAAATAGCACTGTTGCAAACGCCACTTCTCTGGCCCTTGTCATGTATTCCCCCAGAGTAGAGCGAGGAAAGGAGAAGAGCGAGGGGGATAGATCTCGACGCGTTGGATAATGCATCCCGGGTCAGAGCTGTCCGTCACGCACAACCACAAATTCAGACAACGATGCTTTTCGGATTTCGCTCGGCATTCGTCAGGCTCCTCCTCGCTCACGGTGAAAATGTCCGTATTACGCAAGCGAAACCCTATACCCAGACATAAAAGCGGTGCAGCTGTTATCTCAAACCGCGACCTATTTCGGACGGAAACACGGACAATTCGTACGGTCATACGCGGCGCATTGTTTAGACTGTCGCGCAGATGTTATACGGATCCTCTAATTAATTAAGTCTTTGTCCCCTATTTGCATAATTAGCAATGAAATTTGTTGAAATTTCTTCCGCAGTCTACAAGGCATCTTTAATAGTTTAAGAAATTGCTGTACGACCTCGGCAAACTGCTCGAGATTTTAATTAAACTTTCTCTCGAAAGCCCTTAAGGCGATGTAAAATGTTAAATTGAACCGAATTCTTTCCCTGATTCTCAAGTAACACTTTCTTTATTTTTAGAAAATGTTCCACTTCTCGTGGAAGCGTGTCAATGAGATCTTAATGAAATTTTTCCTCCGCGATTTTCAGCGGCGAAGTAATTTCTCGGTTTGATTACGCACGTTTTACCAATTGGATTTCAAAGCGACTGAGCGATGACTTCGCAGCAATCCGCCCTTTACGCTGAGTTTCTCCCACAAATTACTTTCCTACGAATTTTTTCTTTCGCTAGCATGAGCGACGTGCCAGCACGTAGACGATACTCGCCTTCCCCGCCCCCTCCCCCTTCTCCCTTCGCGTTTCCTTTCCACCTGCTGAACCCTCTAAAAGTTCGCCGAGACGAAAGTTCGACGCGGGTAGATTCCAAAGTACGGATTTGTTTTTCCACATCGGTATTTACTTTTTCACGGCGCGATGCACAGAATGAATGAAAAAGGAGAGCCGCTGAGGGATAGGTCTTCTTTCTATCTTCTCTCTCTCTCTCTCTCTCTCTCTCTCTCTCTCTCTCTCTTTTTTCACGTTCCGCGAGCGCATTCCGTCTGACTGCGTATTTCTATTGAAACGCGATGATGAATGGCTATTGGGATAAAGTTATGCGGCGCGCCGGCGTTAATGTTGCGAAACACACACATTTGAAAACTGGGTAAATTCGATTTACGATCGGTGGCGCCCAGCAGCGCGTATACCTTTCACGTGTGATCGAGCGCAGCACCTCAGATTGCCGTCGCGCGGTGGTTGCGAAGAGATTTATATGAAAATCGTCGCAGTTTCCCCGCATTGATTATAACGACTGGCTCTGCTATATTGATCGGAATACGTGAAACGTATCATTTCTACGTTGAAACGTGAAATTAATGCCACGACAACTGAAGCGAAATTATTAATACTAATGGCAGTCCGTATCGACTTTCATACGAGAACTTTCATGACGCGTTGCGTAATCCGCGCTGTTTATTTCAACTCATCGATTCCGATACTTATTATGTCTTATCCGTCAGTCTCGAACGTGAACAACGCGATCTCTTCCGAGGAATAAAATCCTAATAAAAACAAACGGCACGACGTGACTTCGGCTACCGTGGGGTAAAGAAAATACAACGCAAAACTCGGTCAGAAAGGAACTCGTCCCACTTTACTCTCCGGTCTCTTCTTCTCCTACCCTCATAGAAATTCCATGCCGTTTGCGCTGGCATTTGCCGTGGCGGAGAGCCGTAAGCAAAGTGCCACGGTGCTACACAACCATACATAACCGTGGCGAGATAAGGTAGGGTCGAGTCACGGAGAGTAATGCATCTCGCAGACGTTGGGAATGAAAATTTACCCCTCGACCCTTTCGTCTATCGCGACCACGCTTAATTCGACCGTTACGCTAACACGAAACTTTCCTCTTCTGCTTTCAGGGACAAGATCTTCAGGCTAAATCTAAGCAACATCAGTCATTCCAACTGCGAGGTGAGTTGCCCAGACTTTTATACATTTCGGCTCCTATCGGCGCGTTTAGCGCTTAATGTGATAACACGCGTCATCTTATGTTTGCATCGAGTTTACTGTTTACGTATTTGAACCAACGAATTAAACCTATATTTAAAGTCGTATTTAGCTTTAAACGTGAAAACGTGATCCCCTCTGTTTCAGCATGATGAAGCTTCTAGAAACAACTTCGTAGAACTTTAACAAGGTTTATAACTTTTAATTACGTGATACGTGCGATAAAAAGTTGAATTTTAATGTATTTAAGTGAACGTTCTTCGTATTTAAAATGTGAGGATAATAGTCTTCATAATCATACTTTAGAGCTGTCAAGTAATTAAAATGGAATAGAATTTTAGTATTAAGTGGAACGCGATTTTAATATTACCTATAGACTATGAGGTCTAAATTCATTTTTCTTGAACCGCGCATAAAGAATTCATTTGCCAGTAAATCTCAAAAAGAACTTTGTTCGCTGTACCACGCGCTTTTCACCCCTCTCCCTCCCCCTTTGGCTGTCTTCGTATCGATTAGCATTAAATGTCGCATAATGTTTGGTCCCCGTTTGAGAGAGGGCGATAAAACCAGACCCCGGTCGTAACTTGGAAAGTGGGCTCCGCTCGTCCCCATAAAACTGTCAATCATGCATAGCCAAGCGAAACGACACCGACGTCATCGGGACAGCTGACGCGTATCTGCCGGCTAAGCGATCCATTGTAGTCGAACGAATCGTACAATGATTTTTCCACGCTCTCCCTTGCCCGGCGGGGATTCGGTTTAAAAGCTCATATATACTGTATTCGCAAAGTGCATATTTGCGTATCGTACGAATTATGCATATCGTACGAGATATGAACAATCATAGGCGCATTTTAATTACGAGGCTGTTACACATACACACACAAAATTACAAAATGTTTTATTTTTTGTGTCGTTTCTTCTAAACCGACACAATTTTTATTTTGTCATTCTTATATTTTCACATCAATAAATATTTTTTTTTTACGTACACGAACGCTATCGAGTGAGTTTTAGTAAAATACGACGCGCTTGGTCGTTGGAGATTGAATCAAAATTGCTACGTTGAGATTTTGCTCCCGATGCCTCCGCGCCGAGAACGGTGGTCAGCTGCCAGACGCTCAGAGGCCGGAGAGGGAAAATTGCTTTTTAACCCTCCCCGTTTGCGACAAGATGCGACAAGTCGCTTCCACCTGGCGGTGGCTATCTACGATTCCGTTCATTCGGTTGACTCTAACCGGGACGAAATCCGATCGTGGACGTTGTTCATCGATTTGTTCTTTTCGGAGAGACAACGAACGCCCCGCGGCTGAATTGGAAAATCGCCGTGCTCCTCCACCTGCCTCGACCTATCCTCGCTCTCGACCTATAGCTTCCGGCAAGAAGTTCGTATCTTCGGGTACTTGGTGCAACGTTGAAGTTTCCGTGCGTTATCGCGATTTTACAGTGTCGGTTTCTACTGCTAGAGAAAATAGGCGGTTACCTTGGACTTTCCTTGTGAAAGAGGTGAAGGATGCTTGAATGGTATAACAAAACACTTTGACCGACCAATGTATACACCCAGCGGAACAATTTTATTTAAGAGAAGCTTGTTCCGGATAATTTCGAGTATCGCTTTAGGGCAGTAAGCGTATTCTTCTTTAGAAAAAATATTAACACAAAGGTATAATTAACATATTACTCTTTTTTATACAGAATTTATGAAATTATTGTGTTTATCGTTGTTCAATTTACATAGAAATTTCGATGAAGAAAGAAAAATGATTTCTTAAACAGATCAGCAGACGAAAAAAAAATAATGAAATGATGTTTCGATATTGGGAGAGAAACGATTATTCGAAAATGCAATTATATTTCGTTGAATCCATCACTCGTCGCGAGAACGAAAAACCACCCCTAAACACAGGATAGATAGAGGGAGCGCATTCGCCCTGACATTTCTTATTGGCCTTCATGCCGGATGCGACGATTGTGGTAGCGCTGAAACTAATTTTAACATGGATGACAATGCGGTCACTGGACACATAGAAATGCGGGAACGCGAAAACGTTGAAGCGCAACGTTATAGTTATTCCTTGCCTTCGGGCGTTTCGCCGGATCGCTCGTGATCATTAAATAGATACACGAAGCGAATTGATGTACACGCCCGAGTTATTCGGCACGGACGAGCCGTTTTGCCCAAGTTACTCCGGAGCGTTTTCACCACGGAGCGACATAGAGTTTGCACGAACGTAACTTACGTTCCACATGCTGGGTATTCGCTGGGCAACTTTCGCGAAAATGTGTCAACGATAGCGACGAAGTTGCATCCACATGCGCCTCGAAGTTCGCGAAAATGATGAAGCAATGACGAAATAATTCCGACGATTGTCTCCGCCAGCGATAAAATAAACTTATTTGTTGTGCGATTATGTAATCTCATATGCGTTAATAAAGCATATTGGCGTGCGTGTTGTAAAACGTGAGAACATTTAACGAACTGAGAATTTTGCTAGATTCATTTTTTTGGCAAATTTTATCTGATTCCGTTATTTCGTGATGCGAATGCTCAAGTCCATTCGGCTCGCTTACAATGAAACCGCATCGCGAGGTCGGTGTGTTGCCAGCCATCACCACAGAGTTCGATTCCATTGAGAATTAACAGGCATGGAATTTCGATTTTTGTTCGTAGCAGTATGTGGCCGGAAAACGTTAACCTAACCTAACGCGGGTCTCAGCAGGCCACAAGAATCGGCCCCCTTCTTTCGTTTCCTCTGTTAAGTCTCTAGAGTATTTTGGTCTGCGGTGGATGTTGTCGTGGGGTAAACTGGAAAGCGAGATACGTGGACGCGAGGTGAAGGAGACGGAAGAAAGAATTCCGCGCGTAGGATGATACAATTTTGCATTTTACATACATGCATGATGATCGTCCGGTTGCTAGAAGCGAGAAGGATCGCTGCGGGTGCTGTAAGGGAGATACAATATCGAATGGGGTCAGAGCGAGTAGAAAGTGTAAGTTATATATACGTAAGTCGAGCAGGCATGTTAAAAAGAAGCGAAGCCAGGCGAGAAATAAAGGCAGAAAATATCAAATAATTGTCTAAATATTGAGTTTGTAAATGCGCCGGTTATATTAAACATTTTAAATGATATTTATGATAAACTTTTCTACGACTATAGTGATTAATCTTACATCTCGCTTTGAATTAATTGGAAGTATGACAAAATATTTGTTCCAAGTTTTTGTTCTTTTTGTTTTTCATAAATTTCCTCTTGGACGGTAATTGACTTTGGTTACGTTCGAATAAGCTGTGAAAAGGAACAAAAACAATAGAAAGGCTATATTTCTCGAGATTTTAGATGTATTGTATGTACATACATTTAAAACGGCGTATTTTCGGGAGCAAAAGTGAGAATGGAAATTTGGATACATTTGAGACGGGTCGATCTCGATAACATCCGCTACTACGTGAATCTACCCTTCGCTCTGGAGACAATGCCCCATGCTAATCCTGCCTCTGTTACAATTTCATAAGGGGAAGAAACGTTTCGTGCGTCCGCCCTGAGGGACCACACGCGTTCCAGGCGAGTTATAGTACGTGGCTAGAATAGATGGCCGAGAGGTTTAAAGCTCGCATATCCTGTACAAAGGGACGGTCCTGTACGACGCCCGAAGAATACATGCGAAACGAAAGTGCACGTTCTTCCCCCTGGCATTTTAAGAGTGGCTAACGGGTCGAGATGTAATTAACGCGCATTTTTTAAGATAGAATTTATAATTTCGAATGTTTGCAATTGTTCTAAACGAACCACGTAAGATTTTATTAGTTAGATATTTTGTAGATTTTATGTTAGGGAGAGATTGAATACGTTTATTCGAAGATTATAAACTATGATTTGCATTTTTTAATTGCACTTCAGTGACGCAGTTTTAGAAAATTAATAAAATAGATGCTTATATATAGTGAAAAAAGAATAACTTTTTCAACTAAATTCAGTTGGTCGGTGAAAGTATAGCTGCATTAACCGCATCGTGGTTTTGAGCTATAACTGAGAAACCATCAGGTAACTCTATATACTTCCACGGGTGTGTCCATCCAATCTTTGTATCTTTATAATCATCTTTGAAGACGTGCATCGAACGATAAGACTAGCCTCGCTCAAGCTCACCTATTTTTTTACGCGTTACTTTGCTGAAGCTCTCAAGTTTGCGCAATACGGGGGAGAAAGAGGGGTCGATTTGCAGCGTTATGGTAAGACGGAATAGTCTGATCGATCCCGAATGATCGGCAGTACGAGCGCATCGATCGAACCATCGTGGAAAAGGAGTCGTCCATCGTTGATCGCGTAACGAATTCCGACGTTGGATGCCCGGCCGAGACGAGCTCGGCCGCGCCGTGAATAAAGCATGCGGCTGTTCGATGGGAGAAGCAGGAAGCGATTGGAGGAAGAGCGGGAAGCGTCCGCAAGCGGAGGACGCGCGAGAAGGATGGTAAATGGAGTAAAAGTCAAATGCGAAACTCGCCAAGAAAATCGGAATCTATAAACCACCGCTACGTCCAATAAAGCAACGTCCAATCGGGAACGAGTGGGGATTCAACGTCTCTCCGACAACGATCGCCTATACCCGCAACGATACCCTATCCGATACCTATAGAGCTGTTGCACGAAAATCATCCAACGCGAGAGATTGCCCTAAGACCGATGGACCAAACCAAGCGCGCAAGGTTCACTTGATGGCACTAAAGTATTAAGAAACCTTTCGCGGGATTTACACGGCTGTAAAATCGCGAATGGGATACAGTAGTTTCCCGCGTTACGGAGCTTCGATTGAAAGAATCCAGATGCGCGGAAGGTGAAGAGATAGGTACTTGACATTCCGATACACACGTACACGCAAGTGTACGTGACCGACATAAGCCGGGCACGTGTTTTCGACAACGCACTTGCGCGCTAGCAAACAATTTCGTCGACATCTGAAATAT